ATTACCGATCATTAACTTTTTAAATTTAAAAAAAAAGTATATTATTATTACGATGTGAATATTTTATTTTTTAACCTATTGAATACCAAAATATATCAATCATGAAACCTTTTCTTTTTAATGAAATCATGAAACTTGAACATTTGTAAGTGGCATTCTAATTTTATTTTTTTTATATGAGTAATGTTTTGATAATTTTTTTTTTTTATATGAGTAATGTTTTGATAAAATAACTTTAAAAATGTTATTAATTGTGGCATAAAATGAAAAGAATGTAAATAAATTATTGTTTTATAAGGGAAAAAAATATGATCTGCAGATGCTACAGTGGAAGGTTATCGTTAAAAAAAAAGTGACGTTAATAAACAATATCAACATAATTACTTGTTTCTCCAAGAACGAATTATTCCTGAAAATATAAAATTGATAAGTAGTTTCAAAGACTTTAATGAGAGAGGGAGATAGCTCTAGGAGCAAAAAACATTTCTTTCTCCCTCCTTTGGATTTAAAAAAAGCAGCTGCCATGTTAGTCTTTCGACGGTGTTTCTGCAACTTTGTTTCCATGGTATTGCGAGAACTGTTATATTATAGTTGTTATTTGAAAAAATTATTTGAAAAAATTATTTTTAATTAAGATTAGTTTAAAAAAAATATATATTTGGTTAAAACTATTGTTGAAATTAAGGTTAAATAAAAAGTATTTTTAATATGTTTGATTAAGAATACTTTTGAAATTGAATTTATAAAATAATTTAAAAAATATAAATTAATATTAATGATTTTTAATTTAAATATTATAAATTTAACTACTATTATTATATCATGAAATAAATAATAATTATATAAAATATTTTTTATTTTTTTATTAAACTATCTACAATCTCATCACGTATATAATATATACAACAAGAACTACAGTTTTTATAAATTTTTTAAGAGCACAACAATATCAGATATCAGGTAAAATATAATCAAGAATAAAATTAGGATTGCCATCAAATTCTGCTAATGCTATATCATCAAGCAATTTCTGTCTAATTTATGTAGTGTTATTAAATAATGTTTAACATTTATTTTTCGAATAGAATACAATTAAAAATAAAAATAAAAATATTTTTTTATTTTTATTTTGCCAAGTCAGACCCGATTCAATATATTTTAGCTTTGAACTGGACCTGGTTCGATCATAACAGTAAAAAATATATTCACTGTTCACATGCATGCTCCACTGAACAATAAAGCGTGACTCTACTGTTCAGTGATTTCTCCTCCATTGAGAAGTAGCAAAATACTGTTTCTATAAAACCTACAGGTACAACTGCAAAATTGAAGGGTCCTACCAGCATAAACCATTGTTTTTTCTTAACCAAAATGTAATATTTGTGGATATGGGTGAACTTTACTCATAACCACACTACCAAACGATTACTAGCATGAAACTAAACAGTGCAAGAATAAAATCTAATAGGTATGCTAGTTGTAAAACATATAAATTTGCTTTATATTTTATATTGATCCTCAAAGTTTATGATATCTTTGAGGATCAATTTTTCTCCTTCTAGTTTGTTTTATATTTTATATTGATCCTTACAAGGTTAGAATATCTTAATTTTGATTCTTCACTCTATTGTTTTGTCATCTGCATTACATAAATTGTTTGTTGCTGGCTTATGTCGATGCACTTGGACACTTTGTTCAGTACTAAACAATGAATGATAAGGCTGTCATTGCTTCAAATTGAAAATGCTAAAGATATTGACAAATCTTAAAAGTCAGGTATCAATGCGAAACATTTGGCAAACTAAAGGGACGAAAATATAATTCGCCCTTTGAATATTCCAACACCGAGCATTTAAAACATTTCAGCTCCCTGTTTTAACAGATGATGGAACTTAATAAAGACAAAGAAAAATTATTTCCATATGCTTGATGTATAACAAGAAATAAAAAAAAAAAAGTGTTTTCTAGTGAAATAGCTTGACAAATCAGTTTTTTGAAACTATTTTTTTAACAGTGAGTAGCACCAAAACTAGTTTTTTGGTATGCTATTCGTCGTACTTTGATCAATTTTTTTAAATAAAATAAAATATTTAAAATATAAAGAGTTTTTTTAACAATAAAATAAAATTAAAACTTCATTAATTTTAGTAAATTAAACATCACCCAGAATAATATTTTTTTTCTTAACACCACAAGATCCTATAGCCTATAGCCAAGACAGTCAAAGCAATCTACTAATCCCAAATAAACAAAACACTAAAGGAAAAGAAAGAAAGAAAATGAGAGATCAAAATTAACAAAACCTAGGGATTAAAAAAGAAAAGAAATATTTTCGCCACATGACATGCTTTCTCTTACAATTTCACACAAGAAGCCAAAAACCAAAGGAGAGGACGGATCCTGGGTCCCTATTAATTCAAGATACCATTATTGTGGTGTTAGTAACACATGAGGTGTTAATGTTTGATAATCTACTTTTATTGGTAGATAATGACCTAGTATTAAAACCTCTTATCTAGTGTTAATGTGATTTATGGTTAGTGCATGTGCACCCATAATTTTCACTCCTCATTTGGTGATCAGCCCTGACTACCTGGTCTAAGGCTCGGTGGCCAGCTTGATCTAAGATATGGATTCCGGGTTTTGACCAGATTATCAGAATCAATTTTTTTTAATCAAAACAATATCTTTTTAATGAAAATAAAAATTAAAAGGTTGTAATTAGGTTTTTAACCAGGTGAATCTACAGGGTCAATTAGATTATACCAGGTTTTTTTTTTAACTAAATTTGGTTCTAACCCCAAATCATCTAAATTTTTAATTGATTTATTAGATCAAATTAGATTTTAAAACTATCTTTGGAAGATATTCACTTAGTGTATAAATTAGCATTCATTATTTTTGTAGCTGTGTATGTCAAATCCTATATTGATTTTGCATAAAATAATAATAAAAAAAATTTATCTTTAATCTAGGGTCATTTTCATTTTTTTATGTTATTTGTTTTGTAATTTACTATTTTGTTGAGAGTATTATGATAAATTTGCCATCATGTGAAAAGCACCAATATATATGGAGTAGTGTGGTGGTGTTTTGTAGTGGTCAACTTTGTCCTTTTATTGAGTAGTTGGAAGTGTTATCACATCTTTTTTTCTCCTAGTGCCATGCATGCTAGTATTGGGTGGATTGTTTGTTGCTAATACTTTTCTTTTTATTTTTCCTTTCATTTTAATTACAAGTTTTGTTTTTCAACTTTATTTTTTTTTAAATTTTTGTTATTTTTATTTATTTTACTTATTTTTAATTTTTTATAATTTTTATCAATTTAATCCTTAATCTTTTAATTTCTGATATTTTCCTTGATCATTTTATAAAAAAATATATTATTTGTTTTCTTCAATTTGATGTTTAATCTTTTCTTTTCATTAAAGTTATTTTTGTTTTTAGTTTAATCATCCAATCAAAAATTTGTAGTTTTCTTCATTCTTTTAATTATCATTTTTTATTTTAGATTTTCTTGTGCAATTTTTTTTTCAGTTTTATTTTTTAATATTTGATTTGTTGGGAATTAGACCTTATGGTTTTTCAATACATGATGCTTCTAGTTTAATAACTTAAATCACATATTTAAAAAATTAACATGCATTGATATCTTTTTTTTTACTTATTTATTTTTTGAATTCATTATTAGACATTATTTTTTTCTATATATATATAACAATTCATTTATGGTTTTCTTCAAAAACTTTTTGTCAAATTATCTTTATCTTATGACTTAGACTATAAGTTTTGCAGGTTAATTCAGATTAACTTATTTCTTATTATTCAGGTTTAATATCTATCATGTTACTTCGGATTAATTCGAGCTGATAATTTTTTTTATTTTTTTTTTATCTAATTTCATGTTTGTAATAGTTTTATTCAAAATTATAGTAATTTTTAAAAAATATTATTTTGCTATTTATTATCTTTGTCTAGTATTTTAATCATCTAGTTAATTATGAAGGCTATAACGAGTCATTGGTTTTTCTTATTCTTCTGAAACACACTTGCAGTCCATGTACATCGTGTTTTACAATATATATATATGTGTGTGTGAGAGAGAGAGAGAGAGAACGAGAGATACGATTCATCAAAGAAATTGCTCTTAACTATTTTTGTGTGAGTTAAGCATGAATAAAACAATTCACGTCTATACTATCATGATTTACTTTTCCACTAGGAAGTATTTCATTGATTAATAATTACAGAAAATGATTTTTTTGAAAAATAATTTAAAATTATACTACAAGGATATTTTATATCATCAACTATATAATGAGCATCAAATACCAAAAAATACCTTTACATAAAAATCACCAAAAATAAAATAAACAAAGAATAAGTATGCTGGCTTGCAATTGCAACACAGTAAATAATAATTTTTATTTTAAATAAAAGAATATAAAACATGATTTTAAATACAATCTAGCTACTTTTTATTTTAAATAAAAAAATATAAAACATGATTTTAAATACAGTCTAGCTACGAAGCAAGACTCGATAGCTTTAGGTCTGGCAGCTGAGCCAAACTCTATTGCCTCAAGTGTGGCTGTTGATTAGTACTTAAAAGTGCATAAAATTAATATTCTTGTAGAATTATTCGTTAAAAGTTAATATAATACCAATAATTCCTTGAAAGTTACCATATTTGGTTTATTTTGGTAAATAATATTAACATATTTGTTGAAATTATGAGAGCATAGTAATATTATTGACAGAATTTATAATAGTGAAAGTAAAAGCTATTAAATCCGTTGACTTGTTTTAAATTTTTTAAATTAAATTAAATTATTAAATTTATATTTTAAAAAAACTAACCCGAATAAAAAAAAAATCTCCAATCGATCTAATAAATATAGGAAATGTTCTAATTATAATGGAGTTATAAAGAGGAAACAGATAAATGGTGGCACTACTACCATTACTGAAGGACCAGACAGGATTTGGTGACATCTATGAATCACACTAAATTCCACAAGATGATTTGATTCCTTTATCGTCCTTTCCCCGCACTCATTCATGTTCAACGCCCACTTCTGCTCTCTTCATCCTCTGTTTTTCTCACTCCCCCATTTTCATCTATAAAATAATAAACCAGAAAACAAACAAGGAAACCCCACAACTCACAAAGCCACAAATTTCTTTCATTAAGTTCAGCAGTGCTTGCTTAGTACTGTTTTCCATGGGGAACATGCAAATTATTGCTATGTCTTTGGCCATGTGATCTTTGACCACCCAAATATAACATTGTTCAAGAAAAAAAAGATTATATTTTTCTTTCTGCTCTTGTTTGCCTCTTCATACCTTTGGGTTTGGAACTACAAAGTTAGAAGATAGTACTGTTATTAACTAGCTAAGACCAGATGGCACTTAATATCCTATCTCCAGCTGAAATCAAGGCCATCTCTTTCTTGGATTCTACTAAATCCAATCGCCTACCTAAGCTTCAAGGTTTCTTTTCCACTCTCTTTAATTCTTGGTGTCAATTTGCTTCTCTGGGTTTTCTGTTTTGTTTTCAAGAAAAGAGCAGAAAGTTTCTTAGAAAGTAGTGTAGAAGAAAGTTGGATAATTTTACCTTTTGGGGTGTCACAGAAAAGGTGAAACATTTGAGGCAATTATGAACCTTTTGCTTTATGTATGCAAAAAACTTTTTGGGTGACCTTTCAGTTTAACAATGGATAATTTTGTGGAAGACTTGAGAGTCGAATTTCGTTGTTTTTGTGGTAGAAATGAAAAGGTTTGAAACTTTGGTGCTTGCTGGTGCTTAACACAGGTGGGCTTAGTTTGAAGAGGAAGGATTGTGGGGGAAGAAGAATTCAGTGTTCAGTTCAGAATCAGAATCAGAATCAGCCACCTCCAGCTTGGCCAGGAAGAGCCTGTCCAGAAGCTGGACGCAAGACATGGGATGGTCCTAAGCCTATATCAATTGTTGGATCTACTGGTTCCATCGGAACGCAGGTAACAATATAATTAGGCCAAAAACAAAACTGTCCCAATTATTGAAATTACTTTTATGCTTTGAGTTTCTACTTAATTGGCTGCTGATTTTGAACACTTAGATAGAGAATGAGCCATAGAGGCTGAAAAGCTCATGGGATAGGAGGTTTATTTAACGTGTGTTCTGCTTGGTAACATTCTCTTCGAAAGAAGTGGGGAGGGTCACTCTTAGTTTCACTTTAGGATAGTCTAATTATGGATAAATATAACCTTTATTGGAGTTGGGTAGCCTCACTGTTTGTCAGGTCAGTTGCTTTACCAAGAATAATTATCATTCTTTAGGCTGCTCTGTCTTGGTTTTCTTTCTCAGATGCCCTTCATGCTTGATCATTTGTGTATCTTGCAGACTTTGGACATTGTAGCGGAGAATCCAGATAAATTCAAAGTTGTGGCACTCGCAGCTGGGTCAAATGTTACTCTTCTTGCAGATCAGGTAATCAGTAGGTTTTATGTTGTAAAGAACTTGCAATACCTTATTATCAGATTATGTGCTTTGAACAGTGTGATTTCCAATCTATTATTTACTTGAGTAATAGAAGTGATGGTTGGCTATTCTTTACTTGAGTAATAGAAGTGATGGTTGGGATAATTATCTTAACTGCTGTCTTTACCTGTTTTCTTTTAGGTTTAAAGCTTCAAGAAAATGAATCATATTATGGTCTCATTAACTCTCTCTGTCTCTCTCTCTCCCCCCTCTCTCTTTGGGGTTTTACAGGTGAGGACATTCAAACCTCAACTGATTGCTGTTAGAAACGAGTCATTAGTTGATGAACTCAAAGAGGCCCTGGCTGATGTTGAGGAAAAGCCTGAGATTATTCCTGGGGAGCAAGGAGTTGTAGAGGTAGAATAACATCACTTCTCTTTTCAGTTGGTATGCCTGCTGAAGTTGTTCTTGTTATTAATTGACAATGACTTATTTTCAGGTTGCTCGTCATCCAGATGCTGTCAGGGGAGTTACAGGAATAGTAGGTTGCGCAGGCCTAAAGGTGAAATCACAATTCTGATTGATCATTCTCCAGTTAGTCTTTCTGAAATCCAGCATATCTAAAATATTTCTCAGACTAGGATTTTATATGAGAGGGATAATGTAATATGAGAATCTGATGTCTGACTTCAATATGATGTTGGCATGATTGTGTAAATCCTCCACCCATAGTTCAAAAAATGAATGGTTATTGAGTGTGCATTCTTTCTCACCTAAAATGAGTGGTTATTGAGTGTGCATTCTTTCTCACCTTTTTTGATGAATGAAAGTTTTTCATTAATAAAAACCAACTAAAAGGGCATAACCAATACATCACTTTTATGAAAAGTAACAGCTCAATACAATTTTAGGTGCCTATTAAGGACCAATTACTGCTATGAATTGATACTCGGAATTTACACCAATATTCTGCAGAATCCTAGTATTATGAAGCCTATAACTGACAACTTGGGCAATCCACTTAACAAGCAATTCATAGGTGTTACTGCATTTGCCATAAATCCTGTCATCGCGCTCCTTTTATATCCCTTAAAGAGTAGCATTCCATGCAGGCCTTAACAAAACAGACACGAAATATGTCTTCTGCAGGTTGCTCTTAGCCCAAGAAAACTCAAAATTCCAGTCCCTAACATCCCTGCTAATACCACATTTCTGTAAGACAGCATGTTACACTACTTTGGAGTAAATGACATTTTTTCCCTGTTCTATGAATTATCAAGTTACTTGTTGAGGATTTTAATTCAGTATCAAGGGTTCAATTATTACTAACCAACTATAGTTTCTCTTTCAATCTCTTTTAGCCTACGGTTGCTGCAATAGAAGCTGGAAAAGACATATGCTTGGCCAATAAAGAGACACTAATTGCTGGAGGTCCTTTTGTCCTCCCTCTTGCTCACAAATATAACGTAAAAATTCTTCCAGCTGATTCTGAACATTCTGCCATTTTTCAGGTATGAAATCTTATCTATGCTGATAGTTGAAGCTTATCTATTTAGATATAAATCTCAAATGCTTCTGCTAATAAATACTGAACTCTAATTGCCAGTTCTTATCCGTAGCATTGTCATGATTTTTGATCTTTCTGTTACTCAATAGTTACGAATTCCATTTATGTTAAATAGAGAACTTAAAATACATATCCTTTCTTCAGTGTATTCAAGGCCTGCCGGAGGGTGCATTGCGGCGCATCATTTTAACTGCTTCTGGTGGGGCTTTCAGGTGTGAGATCTTAATTTAGTCTAAATGGGGCATCAAGTATTTCCCTTTGATGTCATTTCTGATTAATTATGTTTTACAACTACATACTTGTTCAGTCATTTGAAAAGTTTTGAGTGTTGATGACCTGTTTTCTTGGGCTCGAGAACCTTTAACTCGATTTACTTGTGCCTCTATCTTCACATCCATTTTCTCTGAAAATGCAAAGGTATCTTAAATTGATATCATCATATTTTCAGCACAGACATCTCATTAACTAATATAACTTGTACAGGTACCATGTGTTCTTAAAATTTCATACTATAAGGGAACATGTTTGGATAATAAGTTCATTGTGTAGCAAACAACTGATATGTATCATCTATCATCTATCGCTTTTTAATAGCTGATTCTGGAATGTCACAGCTTCATCATATACTGTTTATTCAAAACTGGGTTTAACTATTGGTTTGTTTCCTTGGTTTTCTCAGGGATTGGCCTGTTGAGAAGTTGAAAGAAGTTAAAGTAGCTGATGCTTTGAAGCATCCCAACTGGAATATGGGTAAAAAGATTACTGTAGACTCTGCTACCCTTTTCAACAAGGTTTGTTTGGAATTACGTACTGATTCTGAATTGGAATCACCAATTACGTTTGGATGGATAATGTTTCTGGAATATGAATAAAAAGGTTACAGTTATTATTTATGTTTATTTCCACAGGGTTTAGAAGTCATTGAAGCCCACTATTTGTTCGGAGCTGAATATGATAATATTGATATCATAATTCATCCACAGTCTATAATACATTCAATGATTGAAACACAGGTCGGAATTTTGAATTTTTATCCTGTTGGCTGGCTTCCCCTAGATTTCTGCATTTTCCAGTAGCGGCTCAGTTGTCCATTTTCAATCTCTAGGGACTCTGGACTAGACTGGACATATACAAATTTTTTCTCTCCTAATCTTTGCATTGCCATTTGTTTCTTTACAGGACTCATCTGTTCTCGCACAGTTGGGGTGGCCTGATATGCGCTTGCCTATCCTTTACACGATGTCATGGCCAGACAGAGTTTACTGTTCTGAAATTACTTGGCCTCGCCTAGATCTTTGCAAGTAACTAGCTTTTCTCCCTTTCAAACTAGTGCTTCAACATTCCCCCTTTTGTGTGTGTGTGTGTGTGTGTGGATATAATAGCAATCCAGCATATGAAACTTCCCATCGTAGTGGGTGCAAGTTATTTATTTCATGGTGGCATTGACAATAAGTGTTCTGTGAACCAGTCTCTTTGCAGACATGATACCAAAAGTGATGCAAAATGGAATTTGATAATGGTCTAGAAGCACAAACATGTCCAATGCTCAGTCTTTTATTAATTGTTTATTTAAAATTCTAAATTAAACTGATGATGCAGGCTTGGATCACTAACTTTTAAAGCTCCTGACAATGTAAAATACCCATCTATGGATCTTGCTTATGCTGCTGGACGAGCTGGAGGCACCATGACAGGAGTCCTCAGTGCTGCTAATGAGAAAGCTGTAGAAATGTTCATAGATGAAAAGTAAGTATTGATGTTGGTTTTCCTTTCATCTAAAATATGCTGATGATAATGACAGTTGCAACAGCACGGACTACTGGTTAGATGTTTTCAGGAGGTTCAAAAATCTGAAATAGTCAATTGTTTTGCTTGTTTCCATGGTATATAGTGGTGTGGGTCATAAAAATGTCATCAATACTGTAGTGGTGATTGTAAGAAGCTGCATATGTCAATTGATGCCTTTAGATTTTTGTGAAGCATTATGTTCCGTTTGTTTACTTTTCATTGTTTCTCCATAATGTGTACTAGTGTGTCCTCCTGGTTTTTGAATTCCTAGCTGACAAATAATTTATCTGTTTTTCTTTCAGGATAAGCTATCTTGACATTTTCAAGGTTGTGGAGCTAACATGTGATAAGCACCAGGCAGAATTAGTGGTCTCACCCTCTCTTGAGGAAATTATACATTATGACTTGTGGGCTCGAGAATATGCTGCTACCCTGCAGCACTCTTCTGGTCCAAGTCCTGTTTTTGCTTGATTGGACCACATGCCAACGTCATACAAGCATCTATTCGGCCCTGGCAAGACCCTGCCAAAACTGGCATTCTTACAGTTTAAGTGCTTGCACAAGTGTATATTGAGATAGGCAACCAGAATATGTCCCAGTATTGGCATTCTTACAGTTTAAGCGCTTGCACAAGTGTATACTGAGATAGGCAACCAGAACATGAGATAGGCAACCAGAATATGTCCCAGTTTAAGTGCTTCCATAGTGCATTTCTTGCATACTTAAGGATCGTGAAAGTTATGGCAATAAAACCCCAAAGAAATGCATTTTGCAGAAAAGTTAAGATCTGGGGATTGAATAACAGTATGATATAAATGTTAAGATAGGCAACGAGAATATGTCCCAGTTTAAGTGCTTGCGCAAGTGCATTTCTTGCATACTTGAAGGATCGTGAAGAAATGCATTTTGCAGAAAAGTTGAGATCTCTTATGGGTTCACACCCTTCTCTACAAAATAATCCAAAACGAGCACTTCTTGTATCTCTCTTAGATCACTAATATAGCATTCAAATCCCTCAGTTTTTGGACTGCTTGGTGGCATCTTTCTCTAGGTCTAGTTGCTGGCCTTCTTTGCTCAGATCATATAATCTTGTAATTAGAAGCTCTTGGTTTAACGCAAATTGATTCCTGGGTGAGTCCATTTCCATGTTCAAATATTTCTAAGTCCATGTTCGCATATTTTTATGCAACTATCACATGAAAATTGATCGTTAAATAAGAACTCTTTAAGTTCTTTTTTTGGTCCCCCTAAACTAAAAATCTCTTAGTTGAGATCCCATACGAGGAACAAATAACCTCTCAGTGGAAGGATTCTGCAATCCTCAAACAAGGCTAAATAGGAAAAGCTTTGGTCATGCGTTCATATCCAACCAAAAGCCTATGAACCCTTCCAAACCCATTAAGCATTCCGACAATTTTCTCGATCCATTGCTTCTAAAGGTGTATTTGAAAGTGAGGTTGAATTTATTTCTAAAGAATTTTAATTTTTTTTTGGTTTTAAATTATTTTTTTAATATTTTTAGATTGCCTTAAGGTGTTAATATTAAAAATAAATTTAAAAAGATAAAAAATATTATATTAATATATTTTTAGACAAAAAATATTTTAAAAAATAATATTTACTAATTGTCTCAAATAAATCCTAACTATTTCAAATAGCAACCCTAAAGGCATGTTCGGCGGCCAAAAATTATTATTTAAATAAAAAAATATTTTTTAAAAAAATTGTTAGTATAATACTAAAAAACTCTAAATCTCTTTTCTTTCTAATATGCCATCTGTCCACTTGATAATAAAATAATTATTAAACGCTATCAAGGCAATCCTCTCTCTATATATATATATCGTCAACAATTGCTTTATTTTATATCAAGAGAAATTAAGGGAATATTTATTAAAATACTAAAGATTTAAAATTAATGATTACAATATTAATTCTCATTCACCGTTAATGACTTGAAAAGACGCAAACTATGTCTTCACTTGTCGACGGTTCAAATTTATCTATGTAATTCCTCTGATAACATTCCTCCTTCAAAATTCAAACAATTTACCTCTGAATTTCTTAAAAAAAATCAAAACTCAAGAATGGTAATTTCGTCTTCCTCCTCACCAAAGAAATCAAAAACAACATCCAGAGAACATGATTAATCTTCAAAAACACTTTGCTTCAATATTTTATAAAATATTAATCGAGAATTTGCCTTCAATCCCTATCAAGTACGTTAGGTTCTAAACTCATGCAAACTTTTAATCACATTTCCAAGAAGAATGTATGTGTGTGTGTATATAAGTCATCTATGTCAGCTATTTGTTGAAAATAAAGAAAAAAAAATCAAGCCACGACTCGCTTACAACACTCTTTTTTATTTTTAGTTTAAAAAGTTTTTCAGCACTTTTCAGATAATCTTTGAAATTATAGCTAAAACACTGTTTGTTAAAAATTAATTAATTTTTTTAGTGTTTTTAAATTGTTTTGATATGTTAATATTAAAAAATAAAAAATAATTTAAAAAATATCTATTATCTAAATACCAAATACTATTGAAATAGTGCAATGAGTTGGGCATTTATGTACAGCAATATGCCATCAAGGTGAACATTCAACTAAACTGAGCAATTTAGGCGTGATTTTTTTTTTTTCCTGGTAAGAATTCAGCAATGTTTTCTTCTTTCCAATTAGCATGGTCACTCCAACCTACTAGACATTAGTGTTATCGAAGGGGAAAAGCTCCACAGGTAAAAAATAAAAATCACCAGTGACATTGCTGAGTCTAAAATATGAGAATTTGATCTTGGACCAAGTATAAAATGGCTTCTTGAAAGGTGAAACGAAGAACACTTCTAAAACATATGAAAGGGGGCATATCCCTTGATTATGATATTATATAATTTCTTTTCTTTTCTCTTTTTTTGGAGAAAAAAAGTTTATTTACACCTAGCCAAATAACTAGAATTTTTCTAGCCATGCAAACCTAAAAAGCTAAAATTTTAATTTTAACCTAAATAATTGGGATTTTAGTATGATATCTACATCTATCTTTCTCTGTTCAATGTTATATCAACACATGACAAATATTTCATGTAAATAATTTTTTTTATTCATAGGACTTTTCTATGTAAAACAAAAATATTTTTTTACACCAATAACACTATCCATTACTAATATTTTCATCAATAACATTACCAATATTTTCATTAATAACATATGTGACACAACAATCATAACATGACATAACAACCAACGATACACCATGGCTAACTAATAATAACATATTATTTCTTCATTAATGATATGTTCTATTTTTCATGAAGAAAATAGAAGATCTAGGTGTATAGATACACCTAGTTATTAGGCAAAATCAAGATCATATCATTGATTATATAGATAGTCCTAGATAGTCAAACCATAAGCAATCATCATAAAAATTCTAGCCATATAAAAACTAGAGCATTCCCAACTATAATTAGGTTATGCTATACAAGTTTTATCAGCGTATCTATAATACATATTTTCTTGTAATATTTTTTATTTTTATTTTTTCCCTATACATTATTCTATTTATCTATATTTATTAACTTAAGTATTAAAGTGTCCCATGTTCTCATAGAATACTTCTTTTTTTTCCATAAACAACTAAGGCTAGACAAATATATATGTTGGAACTATCACTTTATCAATGCAAGATGTAGCATAAAAAACCAATACTTTGAGTAATGTTTTTTCACAACTTCATTAAATTTGTAAATAATTTGTTTATGTTTGGTTTTATAAGCTATTTATAGGGTTTCTAAAAATCCTAATACTGCTAATTTCAGGAACTCCATTAGTAAAGGGTCTTTCTCATTCTTTTTTAATTATAGAAAAGTTTGTACTAAGGCCTAAACAAACTTTAGAGATAATTCTTTTATATGAATCTCTTTTTTCTTATTTATTAATATTCAAAGCTGTTAAATTCTATATACAAAACCCTTATATTTATAAAGAGGTTATAATATCAAACTATTATAATCCAATAAAGATTCTAAATACTAGTTTAATAAGGATTCTCATTAACTAGTTAAATAAGGATTCTAAATGCAAATCTTTTTTTTTTTTTTTTTATCAAGGATTCTAACTTAGTATTTCAACTAATATCTTAACAATCCATTTCTTAAAATGATGTTTTTAAGCATTTACTTTAGCAATGAGAAATTCTTATTTAAACAAGATCTTTTTGTGCAAACACCAAGTAATCTTCTAAGCTTTACAAATAACTTTAATTTTAGAATGACTTCTTTTATATTTCTTTTGCAAAGGATATACATGTTTTTAATTGAAAGACTTAAAAAGCCAGTGGGGGGTGAATTAGAACTTTATTTAAGATTATGATATTTTAAAAATAAATCTTCAATTAATTAAAGAATACTAAAAACCACAAACAATATTTAAAAGTAAATTTTCTTTTCAATTTCACCAATCACAAACAACTCATAATTAATAAATGCACAAGTAAATTGAGATACCGAGAAATAAACAAATTGATTTTTATAATAGTTCATAAAATCACTTACTTCATTTCTTAAATTTCTATTCAAGTATTCATTATCACGCATGATCTACATAACTGGTAAAAACCAAACTGATTACATAATTTTTTTATGAACTTAAGATTAAACTCAATCTTTTTAGAGGCTAAGAATCAAACCTATCTCAATTTGTTTCCAAGCTTAATATTAAACCAAATTCTTTTTCCGGCTAAGAATCAAACATATAATGCAATTTTTTCACTGGCTAAAAATTAAAAAAACCTTATAAACAATCTTTTCAAGGTTGAAGATTGTAAACCTCTTTTTAGCTCTCTTCTAAATGATACATCTAAGTGGTTAAAGTGTTTTCATAGTTAGTTTGTATTTCACAAGAGAAAGATCACTCCTTACAAGATGAGAAGATTATAATAGATTAACTCAAGTATTTATAGAATGTAATCTAATTCATAAATGTGAGAAATTGATTTGATGCAATATAAAATTTGTTTTTCAAGAGAATACAAAGATGAATGAAAGCTTTTAAGAATAAGAAAAGTTCAAAGCATTAAATATATAAGATTATAAAAGAGTAGAAGTATAAGAGAAATCTTACATGAAAATCAATTGAGTATTTAAAAAAAAATATACCAAAACCAGTCATAACTCACAACCATAAAATAAGAGAAGAATGTTTTATTCTGCCAAGTAATTTTTTCATTGTCAAAAATAGACATATTGAATATTTTAAGAGAAAAGGAGTTGTTGAAAGAATAAAAAGATTATTGAGCACACTTCTCTTTAAATTACAAGTTTGTTGCCTTATCTAATAATAAACAAATAGTGTAGAAACCACTATGATACGATTTTTTTTCCTATAAGTATATATTAAGATATTTTAAAGTATAAAAACACATAATGATAAATATCATGCTTTTCATTTTAATAAAAATATCAAAATATATGAAGAAATAATTTTTCATGAGATGATTTTCACTATGTAAATTCTGTGCACTTAAAGTATTTTTAGATGTAAATTTTGGAATAAAATATTTTAGAATGATTAAAATCATTTTATGTTGTCAAATTAAATCATATATAAAGACTTAATTATATAAAGATTAAGCTTGAGAATCTTCCGTGTCATGTTTGCATTTAAGGAGTCCATAACTTCAATATGATGTAAAATATTCCTATAAAAATAATATTTTGACATATATATATATTAAATACAATAATATGATGTATCATCAAAACAAATAATCCACAAATGATTAAAGATTTTTGGGCTAACATTAATATCATGTAATTGTATATAACTTAAGAATATATTTTTAAATTAATTTTAATCTGGTAATCTGTGAATTACAGTTAGAACTAGGATCTATTTCTCATAATACAGCATCTTGTTAGGTTACATTACTTACAGTTTTTATTGCAATTTTTAGGTATATTAGAGTTTATTTTTGTCTGCAAATAAATAATGAATTAATTTTGACTTCCTTTTCGGATCACCATTGATATTCCTTTCTCAACACTAAATTAGCAGCAAAGTACAGATGCAAATTTGTGTTTCTTAATTTTGGTAGTGCCTCATGCCATGAAACCAGAAAATAAAATGAAATATAGTAACAAACCCATCCAGTTCCTTTTTTTTTTAAATAAAAAACCTAAAAAATAAATAAAAAATACAATTGTAATCATAACGAATAAGTTCAGAGATTATTCTTGAGAATAAAGATACATCGTCGGTGCATATACTCGGAGTTCCTTTTGGGTACAAATATTGATGTCGGGATTGATCACTTTTTCTCATAAAAGATTAGAATATAATATTATGATTAGAATATAATATTATTGATTGCTTTTCTAGGTTTTTCTTCTTCTTTTGTTTGGTAGGTGTAAGGGATTCATGACCTCGTAAAGCTTGATGGCCGCTACAAAATTAAACCAGAGGGAGATGCAATAAGTTCCGGCACTCACTCTCAAGTTCCGGCACTCACTCTCTCTTTGAATTGCTATGTATACATGCTTCCTAATAATTTAAATCTAGTTGCTAATAGTTAGTTTGACTCACTTTCACAAAGGATAATCACTCACTATAATTTATCCTTTTTTTTATAATTGATGGAATTTATGTACGGTTGTATATGATATAAAATAATATAAATTATATATTAAAATTTTATTTAATAGTTTAAGTTTTTTAATTAAATTAATTTTTTAACATGATATTAAATCATTAATGATCAAGTAGTTACGAGTTTAAATCTTTTTATCGTTATTTATTTAATAAAAATTAAGTATAAGATAGTATAAATCTTTGTAAATTCTAAGTCCAAATAACTTTCACTTAAGAGGATATATTAAGGAATAATATAAATTATATCTTAAAATTTTATTTAATAATTTAAGTTTTTGAGTTGAATTAATTTTTTATATGATATTAAATTCTTAATAACCAAACATTGACGAGATCAAATTTGATTATCATTATTTATTTTATGAAAGTAATGTTAGCATTTGTAAATTTGAAGTTTATATAATTTTCACTTTAAAAAAATGTATTAAAAAATAATATAAATTATTTTTTATAATTTTATTTAATCATTTAAATTTTTTAAGTGAATTAGTTATCAAACAACCTCAAAAATCAAAGAAACTACAATCCAAGACAAATGCTTATCAAACCATGGAGGTATGAAACCAATGACTTACTATTAGCATCCCTAATCAATCACTATTCATGAAATTAACGGAGTAGAGGTATCCATATCGATCATTCCAAACCTCTAGCGTGTTCATCGATCTCCAGACACATAGCCTTGACTTGATGCCCCACTTGTAAGGAAAGATAGTGTTGATGTTCTCTACACATGCTTCACAAATACTCCTAGCAAGCATCTATTGTTCTTCTTATTTTGCTTTCGTACGTCGTTATTTCATGTGAAAGCAGAGCTGTCTGGGGCTTTAGGAGAGCAGGGTGCTCCCTATCTTTTCCCACTCCAACACTTGTGCTTGCAAATAGTTAGAACGGGAGAGGAAGACTTTGGAAAAGAACAAAAATACTTGGCCTGCCATTTTCCGAGGAAGGCACCATCGAAAGGTGGGGCTTTGATGGTGCCTTGCGAACATGGCCATCTATTTATTATTACGAATTTCTCACCCGCTCTGCATAAAAAATAAACCAAAAGACAAATATCTGAGAATAAAAATATATATTTTAGAACTTGAGTGAAATAATTTGTTTTTTTTATTGATCATGTGTAAGCACATCATTCATATTTTATGTGAGTCCAATTTTGTGCAAAGTATTTATTTATGTCTTTAACAAAGTAATTGGGTGATAATTAACGATTGGATTAAATATTGATCCTTAATTCAGTAAATTTTAAGGGAAAAAAAAAGATTAACATGGTAACAATTTGATGATTGAGACAAATTAACACATTGAAAAAATGATAGATAGGTCAAGCAAAGATTATTGCAAGGTGCATAGTCGGCAATGGCACAGTTGCCATTTATATAGACAGTGACCCGAGACAGACCATTAATTAATAGGGTGACCTTGGAATTGTATCCAAATTCCAAAGAAAAGGCAACCTTGATGATTACCTCGTAGGACTTTAGCTCCCTCCACCTATTTCTTTTTCTTCTAGAAAAATAATAAGCCAGAGAATGTTGACAGAATCCATTACACTCTCAGGTACAGGTTCGAGAGACAAGAAACAGCGAGCCATGGATGCAGTCATGACAACGAAGCCAAATTTAGGAGGATTGTCGAGATTGTATATTTGGGACATGGCTGATCTTGTATTCATAAAGAAACGATTTGGACAGCGGTTCAAACCTTTTAAAGACTTGCATGAAAATCTTGAAACATTAAGAGAATAATTGAAGAGGATTTGCAGCTCTACATGCACGAACAACACTACATCTTAACTAATAATTAAATTCTATGTTGTGAAACAAGAATTCTCTTTCATTTCTCGTATATATGACAGAGTCTTTGCCCCTTCAAGAAGTCTGCAGTCCGTATTTTAGATAATGTGAGAATGAAAAAAACACCAGGAGAGAAGACAAAAGCTGAAAATGGAAAAGAGTAAAGAGGTTCTTCATTGCGGAGGTCATGGCAGGTCTCAATTCTGATTTGGTTAGGCATCCAAGAAATATTAGATACCTGTAAATTCCAGCAAGGATCATGCTTTGGCATCGTATTCTCCAAAAGGAGTAAAAGGGAGGTTGTGCACAGGCCGAGGCCAGATATCAGACCGCAAGCTGCCTGTTATTCTCTTTGAATTCTTTATGGAGCTAGTAGAAGAGCTCATCGGTATAAATTAAAGCTCACCACAGTCACTTTCTGTTTAGCTTTTTGTGACTGTTATTCTTATCCTGATGATTTTTTTTTATTGTTTTTTAACCGTGAATTAACTAATTTCTTGAGATTTTAAAATTAACGATCAGGTGAGGTAATCTAATCAGCTGAACTACCCTACTAATAATTTATTCTGGTAATTTTTGTTTACGCCTAAAAAATGAATTATGGTGGGACGTCTAGGAAATATTGGTTGCTTGCACCTCGCCATGTTTCTGGGTCATCTGTCTGTATTCATCGACGTGAAACCTAAAAATCCACCATTATTATATCTGATTTGAGGTAATTTTAAATTTTCCAGCGGTTAAATTTCCCACTTAATTTCCAGCTTAGGGTTTGATTGGATCCTCTTCTTTTTTTATCAAAGCACTTGCATCTTCAGGTTTCATAATCCCCCACTTTACCCGGAGGGAGAGAGGGTGGAAATTTCTACGTTCCACTTTACACGTTGTCCTAGATCTTATTGGAAGCTTTTGCAGTGGGATTGACGCTGGGACGACAACGATAGAACAAAAGGCAGAGACCAGGACCAAGAAATGTTTCCTGGCGGTACCATGCGGGAAAGGGAGGCCCAGTTCTGGGGACAGAAAACACTGCTATGTTATCCATGAGGTATTGGGTTCCTTTCCTTTCACAGGACACTGTCACGGCGGCTGATCTGCATTCCCAGCATTTGGACATTGCAAGCCGCCGTGTTGGATTCTTGACATCTGGAATGAGATTTGACAATTTGATAACATTTTATATCAAAATCATTGTACTTCTGTGTATTAGAATTACACAGAGGACAATAAATAAAATTACATTAATAAATTTGGACATAAAATAGATGTATAATCTCTGAATATAAAGAAGCTCTAAAGTTTTAACTATATCATATCCCTGTTTGACTTGCTTTATATATCATTGTTTTGGTAGACTAATATTAAAAATATATTTTTAAAAATATTAATTTAATGTATTTTTAAATAAAAAATAATTACCCTCACAATTACAAAATGAAAACATAAATATAGTTTGATTTTTCCTTGTAGAATTAAGATTTGAGGATTTATACCAGAAGAAAGGAAAACAGCATGCCAACCAGCTCAGATCGTGTGGATTTTTCATACAATATTGAAAAATAAAATCAAAATCTTGATGGTATGGATCTCAAGGGTCAAATGTTGGGTACAAGAACACAAAATCAATGGCGGTTCAGAATTTGCAATAGCCAATGGCTACTCTTCCTGCCCTGTAAGACATAGTTTTCTCGACCAATCAATGAGCAATTATTACATAATTTCCACGCGTCATTATCTTAATGGCTATAAGATCTGACAATATATTAACTTATCATCAAGAAGCTGGGAAGAAGGAACATTGACACTCCCTTTTTATCTTTTAATATTTTTTTTAATTTTTTAATATATATAGATCAGCTAGTAATTGACATCGAAGATACGAGTCGAACCTCTTATTTTTAAAGAGTTATACCACTCCTACAAGCCAGCCTCTTGACTTCAAAGATTTGCTAATTTTTTATTTAATATCAAATATATTTTTTTAAAATATATTAACTATAAAACACTAATGTAAACAGACAACATCATTCATCACGACAGCTGAATTATTTTATCTGCACACAAAATTAAAATCCATGCTGGAAATTATAAATGATTCCCTACTACGAAAACAAAAATAAAATTATTACACACAAAATTTGTTGTTAAAGAGGAAAAATAACAAAAAAAAAGAAGAAGAATATATTAATCATCCGCTACCTAGAGGAAAAATAACAAAAAAAAAAGAAGAATATATTAATCATCCGCTACCTCTCAAAATGGATGAAGATTCCTTCCCACCCCATTAACATTAGACAGAAACCCCACCAAATCCGGCCTGTAAGGCAAATAGGAGCGGCGTTTATCACCTTCTTTACTCCTCACGTAATAATGTTCTTGAAATTGAAACAAACCTCCTCCAGCTCCTTTCGCTTCTTTTCTTTTCTCCGTGCCCTGTTTATTACGGTCCCCATCTTGGTCATCGCTGCCTAATCTCTGATGATGGAGGCCACTCTTCTTGTTATTAGGCATCAAGAACACAAAAGTATCCTTGCCATCACTATTACTCCGGTGAATAAAATCTTTGAACTTCCATCTCTTTGAATTAGACCCTGTAGAGCTGCTCTTCTTGCAGCTCCCCGGAGACCCCTTCTCCTTCTTTGGCGTCCACACACAGTAAGTTCCAGGCTCTAGGCTGTCAATATCATCAGCTTCCGATGAAGAACACGAAAAGGTTTCACGGTCCTCGTAGAAGAGCTTTCTGAGGGGTGATCTATTTGGTTTCTTGGCATCTGGGGTACTATTGGTTGCAGTTTTCGATTTGGGTAGGGATTCTTCGTCGTCTAAGAGTAACTTGGTGTTAAATAAGGGATAGAAGGGTCTGATTTGGCCGTTGTAAAAGATATCATCAGCAGAAATCGGAGGGAATTGTGGTTCTGGCCTACTTAGAACTGCAAACTCGAAGTCATCCTCCTCCTCCCCATCCTCGTTGTCATTTTGTGGGCGGTTGCTTTGCTCTTCTCCTCCTTGTTCTTGCCAAGAGAAAATGTTGTTGTTCGCGCCTTCTACTTGCTCTGATTCGTTTGTGAATTCTTGGACCACCCTTGCTGCAATCTCTGCTAGCTTGTTTGAAGAGTAGGCGTTGAAGCTTGGAGAGCTTGGAGAAAGGGTGATTAAGGGACTACTTGGCTGCATTATGGGGCTATCCTTGCTTAAATTTAATGGCGAAAAATCGAGCAACTGTAGAGCTGGGTTCTTAGTTTTACAGAGAGAGGAGGAGAGGGGGAGAGAGTTAGTTGGGTTGGTTTGGATTGAAACAAGTGGGGGATTTTGGATATATAGATGCTTGAGTTGAGGGCCTGGTTGTGACTTTATAGGTGTGGAAAGTAATGGGAGAAATTTGTGTATATTTTGGATGGGGAGAGAGAGAAGCAGAGGAAGACGCACTTTATAAAGGAGGCTGTGATGGTGATTGGTGCGTGTCACACAAAACTAAATTCATATTTTTCAAAGTTTTTTAGAAGGTCGGGCGACCCTGACCCATAGTAAATTGAATTAATTAATTAAGATAATGTTTATTAATATTTTAGTGGTTATTTTTTTTTATTTTACAAGTATTAAAATAATACTTTTTTATTTATTTTTTAAAATTTATTTTTGACACAAATAACTTAAAATGAACTAAAAATATTAAAAAATAATTAAATAAATCAAATTTAACAAAACAAAAGTCAATCACCATATGAAAATCAAAACTTTTTTAAGTTATATCATCCATGATGTTATTATTTATTTTCTCTCTTTCCTAGGAAGCTTCTATTAAAGTTTATATTTATTAACACTAAATGCATCAACATAATTTTAATATTGCTGTGCATTATATATTTTAGAAAATATTTTTTTGGTTTAAAAATACACTAAAATATCATCACATTAAAAAAATTATCACATTATTATTTTTTAAAATACAATTAAAAACACAACTAAAGAGACATGTTTCATTCCATTCTGCACTTTTTATATATATATATATACATAATATGGTTGTTTTTTATTTAAAAATATATTAAAATAATATTTTTTATTTTTTTAAAATTATTTTTTATATTAGTATATCAAAATAATTTAAAAATATGAAAAATATATTAATTTAAAATAAAAAAACTTTAATTTTTTTTAAAATGCTTTTAAAATATAAAAATAAACGGGTGTAATGACGTGGATGTCCACTTCTTATACTGTTCGGTTTCACATCCAGTAATTTGTAGCCCTAGCCAATCATCAAACAAACCTCCATCTTCGTCGTATGAGTACGGCAATATGTGTGATGATGGAGATCAAGTGGGAGAGACATCAGGAGGTTGGAGGAGGGCAGGTAAGAGGGGATAATCATACGATAGACAGTATCGCCAATTTAATGCTCTTCCTTTTTTAAACAATATTATTGGTGATTTTTATTTTTATTTTTATTTTTATTCTCCTTTTTGTAATGGTAAAGCAACAACCTCTAGCCGAGGACGATGGCATGGGCACCACTGTTTTGGAGGGTAGACTACCATCACACCATGCCTGGCGATGCTGATCAACACGTGTAGAGCTTTCAGGCATCACACGTTAATTACTCTGCTTAACAAGCCACCATTCTTGCTTCGTGCTTCCACGTGTCATTAAATTAATGAAAAGAACATTATACATTGAAAGACAGACCCATCCACTCAACCATAATCATAATTTTAACGCATAATTCCTGTACTTTTTCTTTTTCTTATCCTTTTGGTTTTCACAGGTTTTGTAGCATTTTACTAGCTACGGTGTTAACTACTTTCGTGACACGTGTTACGTCGATGGTCAAATTAATTATTTTTTTAATTACAAAAATTTAGAAGATGGTTGTGTCTCTAAGAAACTTAAGACAAATTCGATAATGACAGTAAACCTTGACTATTTTGATAGTATAATAAAAATTATGATGGCAATAATAACAAATAAATTAATAAAAAATTATTTTAAATAAAATTGGGTTAATAAGTAAAATATGTTATCTAGACGTTAAGTTTGGATAAACTCTATAGAATAACAGTGTCAACAAAGATTAATTATAAAACAAAAAAAATAAAAAGAAGAAGATGTAAACTAACTTGGTTTAATTTTTGAATTACTTGATTCAAAAAATTAATAAAATTCTGATCAATAAATATTAAAAAAAAATTAAAAAACAAATCAATAAAAAAAGATTAAAATAAAAATAAAAATCAAAACTAACATAAAATAAAATGAATTAAAATATTAAAGGATACAATAGAAAATATAATTTAATTAAAAGAATGATTATAAAAAAAAACAACAATGAAAAGAAAATGGACTAAATCTGGAAGGTACAAAAACAAAGGAGGGTTAAATTGAAAGAAAATTCAAATCTATGGATTATTTAAACTAAGAAGAATAACAATAAAAATAATAGGGACTAAATCAAAGAGCTGCTTTGAAAATATACAGTGAAAGACTTTGAAATTGATGAGCAAAGAGGAAACAAGGAAGAAAAAAAATGAAAAAGGCTACTGACACAAAACTTGACCTTTTTTTTACCACACGTGCAATCTAGAAATAGAGAAGATGTCATGAGGATTAAAACACCATTGTGGAAGTCGGAGTTTAGTCAGTGGATGATGCCATACACGTCATTCAAAAAATAAAAAAAAAAAATAAAAAAAAAAAAAACCAAAAAAAAAAAAAACAATTCACCCAAAAGTAAAGGCAATTCTCATCCAAGGACTTTGTGGTAATTTTACCATGAAAATATAATGAAAAAAAAGACAAGACTACCCCTATCCAACCGTGCATGATGTTTTTACTCTAAGAGAATACGAGTCATTTTATTGTTTGATACATTTATACCTCCATTGCCAAGGTCATTTGTATTATGTTTATAACAACAAAATCATCATTTCACCGTTTCAATCTACAATGACAATGCGACAATGCGTCTATGTATACAGTAATAAATGTTCAGTAAAAATGGGAGCCTTTTTAGTTTCTTTTAATGTATTCTCAAGTGACACTTTTCAAAATATATTTTTATTTAATTAGATGATAATTAAAATATATATTCATAAAAAAGTAATGATTAAAATTTTGTATAGACAATGTATTTTTTATTAAGAGTATTTTTTTATTCGTGTATTTTTTTGGACAATAACATATTTTTTTTATTAACACTATGGTCTATTGAATAAAAACTATGTATAATTAAAAAAATATTAATCAAAATTACAATTATTTTAATTAAATAAAAAATATATCTTTTTAGTTAAAACCCTCTTTTTTTTATTCATATATTTCTTTTTTATAAATTTAAAAAAATTTAGTATAATTATAAAGAAAGTTTTAATTAAAAAAATTATGAACTATTCATTTTTATGCACATGTATAAAAACATATAAGAATAATATATTTTATATGGGGCTTAGTATATAGTATTAGGGCTTATTTGTTTTCATAAAATATTTTACAAGAAAATATTTTCATTTGTTTTCATAAAATATCTTACAAGAAAATATTTTATGAATTGTTAATGTTATTTACTGTAGAGTTATAATATACTTAATGTATGAATTGGAATGAATAACTTATGGAGTAAAGGATGTCTTCTATTGATTTGAGTTGTGAATGGATAAAGTCCAAAATAATTGGACAAAATAAGACCATGATGTTGATATGTATACATATGTCGATAACTTGAGAATATATTTTTTAAAAGAAACTTTGTTAGAATTTTGATAAAGACTTAATTGACCTAAAAGAGTTGAGAACCATGAGAATATGGAATAATAGTTAATTTTTTTAAAAAAATATCTTGTTTTTCATTAAGTTCATGACTCAAAAACTTTTACAATTGGGACTATTACAACTCAAGTTTCTTAGCTATTAGCCATATACATTGAACAAATTTGTATTGTTAGTGTTTTTGATGGACATATAGTTTGTTTTGATACTAACATTAACCTTAGTTTTTTTAGTGCATGATTAGTTGCCTTTTATGTATTTCTTTATTATCTTAACAATAATATTATCTTTTAATTTGAAAACTTAAAAAATCTCTCTCCTTTGTCTAAAACAACCTTTCGAGTAGAAAAAATTAGTATTGGGGTATGAATCTTATTTTATTTGATACCTTGCAAAGTATATACTATTTATTTTTTATTATATATATATGTGTGTGTGTTTATTAATGCATTTGATTTTCTCTTTTTTTTAAAAAAAAAAACATATGTTACGTCATTCATCATTTTTTATATAAAATGACTAGTTACATCATTCATCATTTTTTATATAAAATGACTAGGCAAATGATGTTTCATGTTTTGGTTGAAATTTTAAACACCACTTATGTAGCTTAACAATCAAGATCTGAATTTTAGGATCAAAAACCCAAATTTCAACTTGTTTAAACCTAAAAATATCTAAAAAACACCATAGAAAGCACTATAAAGCGATTTATAATACACTTAATGTATGAATTGGAATGGATAACCTGATGGGGGTAGATGATGCCTACCAGTGTTTTAAAACCCGAGCCGACGAGTCAATCTGGAACCCGGCTGACCTAGGGCTGGAACCGGGCCTAGTTGATGAAAAGACTTGTCGAGGGAATTGGCCAGGAAAAACCTATGAGTTAAATAATATCGTTTTTAGCTTTAGCTTTTTATTATCAATTAATCGTCATCTTTTTTCAAAGTTTATAGCCATATCAGTATTTGGTAAGCCCTCAGTTTTCTCTCTCACACTCACTCTCTCATTCTCTCACTTAGGTAGCCAAAACTGCAAAAATAGGAAGAAATAGTTTCTCAATCTTAATAGTTTTATCAGTCACACTACATCCCACTCTCCCTCTTTGTCTCCATATATTCCCCAATAGATCGTCAACTCTTTGTCCTTTTCGATGACTTATTGCTCAAATCTTCCCACTCAATCTTCTTCAATTCTCTCAAATCTCGTGGTTTCAAGCTTATTGATGACCCAAAACTCGCCCTTTAACATAATGACCAATATTTATATGATGGCTTAATTCTCTTTTGTCCTTTAATAGAAAGTAAGTTGTTGATTCCAAACAAATTGTTGTTTGTTGTTATTAAGTTATGATTTTTATGGTTTAGTTTTCGTTTTGAGAAAATTGGTTTTGTTATGATTTTGTTTTTTTGGTTTTTTTGGAATAATTTGTAATTTGGGATTCTTTTTAGAATTTGATAGTGCATTAAATTTAGCTATTATTCTTGACTTTGTTGACTCGGTTTATGATTTGATTATTACAATGGATAGTTCCTCTTCTGATTTGATTAAGAGGCTAGCTACTGAATGTGGGGTTGATTTCGATGAGGTTAGTGTAGAATTTATGATGCATTGGATTTTTTGTTATTTGATTTTGTTTATTTGATTTATT